AACTCAGGCCACAGCTGTGACAGCGTGATCGCACTGAGACTTAACCTGAAAAGGGCATTCTTCGCTTGTTATTGAGTTCCAATTCATCAATTCATCCACCTTTCTTAGGTTACTGGATATTCTCACAACTAGAAACAGTCACAAATTATATATGCATACATATGTTTGTATATATATTATGCGTACACACACCCTGTATAACTATTTCTATATATAAGACTAAATTATAGCTACTCTTAGTATTCTGAGTAATTTTTGAGACTTTGTATTATTTGACTGTAGATTTCATCCCCACCAGCATTTGTTATTTCCAATCTTTTTGATATAGAGCATGCTCACAGGTATGAGGTGGTATCTCCATGTGCCCTTGATTTGGATTTCTGTGATAAATATCATTTTGTAACACTCCTTCAACTTTTTTTAAATAAATTTTATTTTTATATTCCCCATACAATTACAATCCCCTTATTTTGACCCCAATCCCTCCCCTCCCCGCCCCTCCACCCCCCATAGAGTATCTCTGGTTCATAGTTTTTTGTTGATTTTGATTTTCACTTTCTTATGGTTATTCATTTTCCTGGTCCCTTTTTTAAGTTCTCTAGATTCCTGCTATGAGTGAGACCATCCGATATTTTTCTTTTTCTTAAAAGTCTATTTTTTCCCGCTTTCCCTAAGTTTTGGTTCAGTGAGATTTTTGAATGTTACCTCTGTAATTCCCTTACATAATTACACTTTTGTTTTTATCATTTACAACAAACATTCCTATTAAAACACAATTATAATTGGACGATGAATGAATGGATGGTGGTAATTTTTCAGTAACTGGAATGATAATATGGTTTAATATTGTTTAATTTATCAATGGAAACTTAAATAGCTATTTATAGAGAATAAAATTGAATGCAGGGATTTTAAGAAGGAGGGAAAAGATAAGTTTAGAAAATTTGGAAATGTAGTGATTTTTTGGAATAATTAGTGACAAATATCTTTAAATACCTATTGGTAATAGATAATGGTATTAAATTTTTATTACAATATAAATGATATAATAAGGGCATAAGGGAAAGGTATATGATGTCAAGATTTATGAATATTGCTTTATAGTAGAATTTAAACATCACAGATAGTCTTAACAAGGCCTAAGTGTTCAGAATTTATGGTTGCTATGGAAACAGGTCACAAGCATGGGAGTCCAAGTCTTTAATTCCCTAATATATTTCAGAGCCATTTGATCATGGAAAAAATAAATGACAACTATAAACCCATCCTCTCCTATAGTCTGCAGGTGTGTGATGAGGTGAACTGTCTTCAAAATAGCCCAAGTGCAACAATTTCCTGTTCAAACTGCTAGTGACACATGAATGAGAAATCTACTTTTTCCACTCTTGCTTCACTCTGAAACTTCACAGGGCAGTTTTAAATATCACAGATATTGTTTGTGATCACAGATCAGAACAACAAGTGCTGGTGAGGATCTGGAGAAGAGGGAACCCTCTTATACTGCTGGTAGGATGCTCTGTGGGCCAGTCCCTTGAAAATCAGTGTGGAGGTGTCTTCTCCTTCACTCAAGGATGCACAACTTCTCACAACAGAAGGTATGTGTTGCTCCTCTCCTCTCTCTCTCTGCTGCTCCATCTCTTTTAGTGGAAGTTTATGAAGGTTAGATGTGAAGCAATTGACACACAATACATATGCAATTAAATCAAAGAAAACATTGGTGTTTTTATTGAATAATTTAGGTAAAACTCAAGAAGAAAATTAAATACTTTGAGGATTTCTCAAAATATTTGAATTCTTTCCAGTGGAGAATTAGTCAAGTATATAGCATCCTTGCATAAGTAATTTGTAAATCAATGCAATTTAGCTTGTAATTTCACCAAATTATGAGAAAGAAATGTTCATTTTGGAATTCATAATCAATACAGATATAATTCTATATAGTTTTTCTATTTAGCTCAATTTATAAAATTAGACTTTAAATGAATCCATTCCATCATGAAGTTCAAAGGTAATTCCTCATCTACTTACTTAGAGCCAATATAAAAGATTTTAATGTTAATAGAAATCAAGATGAGATAGCTTCCATAAAATGCCATTTTCAATTTAAAAGTATACAAAATGCTTAAAAATAAACATAAATTGTTCAAGGAAAACCACATTAATAAAACAAACTCCTGTCTAGTGAATTAGGTTACATGGTATAAATGTTATGAATTAGGAAAAACATGGTGGTTGTATCAAAATAATAATGAAAATAGGGACTGTATTAGTGTAGCTGACAAGCCAGGTTGGATATTATATTTTACATGTATATTATATCTTAGATATTCCTATTTCCATTTTAGATTAGTAAACTAAAACTAATTTGAAAGACTCAATATAACTTTTTATTTTATTTTTCCTTTTTTATTGAGTTAAAATTAAAATGTGATACTTAGTAATTATCAAAGTCAGAATTAATTCTAGATCTCACTTATTATAGTCTATTGCCTGAATTGCTGAAATAATGATTTTTTATTTATTTCAATTACTTGCACGCATAAGGCAATTGTCACTAACTTGGATAGTTACAGGATCTTTCTGGAAGTTTTAACCAATAATGTTGCTCCAATAATTAATGAACCAATAATGTATGTACCATTTTATGTTTTTTTTATCTAGCTATTAAAGCAATTACCAATCTATTGTATTAATTCTAATCACATATTTTTAAAATATTATTTTTATTGTTTTGTTTTCAATATTGTTTAGGTTTTGGATGAGCTTAGCATGCCATTAACATTAGCCAATATACAAAATTTCTTTAAAATTGTAAAAATTCCTCAGAATATCACAATACAGAAAGACATATTTTGAAAGGAAATAACCTGAGATAATTGAGTAACACCTCATCCCCTTTTAATAAAGAAAAGTAAATGACCAAATAAAAATAGTGTGGGAAATGCTAACACTATTTCTCCAAATTAGAACATTCAATCTTTCATCATTAGTTTTAAAAATTGACATAAAAATGGCTGCATCATTTTTGCTGAGCCAAAATTTTCATTTCAATAGTTATACAAAGGATTAAGATGCTGCTGTGGAATATCATCTTAAATTAATAAAGATAATATTGGTCATTCACATCTCATATTTTATTAAATATTTTGCTTTTCATTTTTCCAACCAATACTATTGTGTCAGTATAGAATATCCTTTCAAAAACTATTTATTCTGTCATGAAACATATGTTTAAGGTTCTTGGGAGTTCATATATTTTTAAATTTTCTCACTAAGGTAATATCTGTTTACACCATTGTCTGTATGCTGGAGTGATGGGATCCACCTCTGGTGATAGTACCTTAGTGCTCAGGACTGTAGAGCAGACATGTGTGTTGTTCAACTGCAATACGAGTCTGTCACGTAGCTCACTCTCCGCCCACAGTGATCTTGTCCTGTGCACCATTTATTAAAGACTGAGAAGGATTTATCACAGAGCACAGTTCCTGACTTTACAGAGCAGCAGAGATGAACGAGCAAAGAGTCACCTATGCAGAGCTGAAGCTAGCAAAGGACTCAAAAAGGCCGCAAGTGAAACCTAAAGAGAGTAAAATCTCCACTACTGTGACGGAGCCGGGAGTAACCTACGCAGAATTAAGTCTTCACAATGCTGCTCGGGATCCTCAGGAGAATGGCAAGTCCTGTCACCTCAAAGGTAAAGCATTTAGTAGACATGCAGCAAAACTGTTCTGGGAGATGCAGAGGGTTGGAGGTGCACCAAGAATAGGGAATAAACTGACATGTTTTTCATTTGTGAGGATCAGAATTTGGCATTGGAATATGGTATTCTAGTAGGAAATCTGATGGTGATTTTTTTTTCCAGGTATTGTTATAATTTATAATTGTTGACAAACAAAAATTCATGGGTAGTTTTTTTTACTGAAAAAGCAATGGTATACATTGGGGGAAAGATTCCAGTGGGAGAAAGAGGTCCTGGGTCCAAATTTATTCATGTGACTCCCTATAGATGGAGACTGTTTTGTGTACAAATTGAGCAACTGTCTCCATCCATCATTTCTCAGTGTTTCCATTTCTCTCCCTGCAGGCTTAGCAGCACTTCCAGAGAAGCTCATAACTGGGATCCTGGGACTAACCTGCCTTCTCTTGATATGCATTATTGTGTCAGTGTGGATTAAATTTACCCGTAGGTAAATTTATGAACGATTATAATGAAACTTTTCACTTAATGATCATCAGTGCCTTTAAATATTTCATAATATTAAGGAATAGAACTATTATGTTAGTGTATCAGTTTAATTAAATATTGAGTGTTTAATCTCAACTTCTCAAAAGTACAAATATGCAAAGTGATTGTTGAGATTATTTTATGTAGATTCAGATATCATGATTCAAACATGCTTAGGAGACTGAAAGAGTCTATTGAAAACTAAGATATACAAAGAACTCACAGGACTGAACAAAAACAAGGTATGAAATGATTTTTTAAATTTGGGACTACATACAGTAAGAGATGGTGAAATTTGACTCTAAATTTTGTGATATATTCTCCCAAAGCTTTATTCTTTTTTTAAGATTTATTGATTTATTCAAGAACTGGGGTACAGGTCAGAGGCTCAGGAGGATGAGAGAATTGACCAGAGACAGAGTGGGGAGCAGAGCAAGCAGACTGACCAAAGACACTGCTGGGGTGAGCAGCAAGCGAGGCAGGAGAGGTCTGCCGCCCCATATGGGTTTCTCCCTGGCCAGCCGGGAATCAAACCCTCACTGCAGAGGCTGTGGACAGCTTAGCACACTGGCCCTCAAATCTCTGCGCCACTGGGGAGGCCCAAAGCTTTATTATTTTACTAATATCCTTGGAAAGTCAACTTTATTATAGATTATTATTATCACCTTACCAACATACATTTCTAATTTAGAAATATTATTACATTGATTTTGAATTAGAACATTGTTAATTTTTATAATGATTTCTTTATATTTTCTAGCTCCTATAAATCCAGAACAGAATGATTTCTCCCCAGTAACAAACATCCAGAAAGGTACACAATGAATCAAAATTCTGATGTTAGTACAGCTTATATGATATTTATATATATATGTTAGAGTAGCTAAAAATGGTAACAAATTTTCTGGTAAAACATACATTATATAATAAAATAAAAAAAAAGTTCGTAAATAATGATAATAGGAGGGGTTCATCATATCCAACAATAGGAAAAAAATTCACTTAGAACCCCCACACCCATGTGGCCAATTGGCGCATGTCCTGCTTCTATTATATGTATAAACAATTTTACTATTAAAAAAATGACATTATTTACAATGTCAGGACATTTACGTGGATATTTTTTTGTGTGAGTTTGGTTCATATGGGCACATAAATTTTAGCATGAGAAGCTGCCCTTTCTCTGAGTGTGTGTTGTAAGTACCAGCTGTGAGGTGTGTGCATGTGTTATGCACATGTAGGTTCATATCTCAGCATGTATATGATATGTCTTATTTTAGTAATGCAAACAGTTTTAGGTAATAATTCACAATCACCCTTCAGCATGTCATTGTGACCCTTGTCCAAAGGAGTGGATTACGTACTCCAACAACTGCTATTACTTTGGTGCTGAAAGAAAAACGTGGAGGGAGAGCGTGACGGCCTGTCAGAGTAAGAAGTCTCAGCTGCTCTACATAGACACTGAGGAAGAAATGGTAAGTAATTCATTGCCCCAGCCATATTATTGAAGACTTACTCCAATCTATTTTATATTTATAGAATTCATATATATTATTGTACAAATTTGTAGTTTATTTATAATTTGTGTAACATTCCATTATCTGATTCGAGGATTTTACTAAAATCTTTGACCCATTAATGCACATTTGAAAAACCCAGTTTTTGGCTTTCATAGAGAATCATATTTCATATATATATATATATATATATATATATATAAGATTGAAGTTTAATACAGATGAAGAAAGGTGAGCAAAGTGTGATCAGGCAGATTAATCACCAAGTGAATGAAAATTGTATTAGGAGAGCAGATCCTGAATAGAAGTCCCAGCCCCCAGTGCACCCCAGACACCCTATCTGCTCTCTCCTCACTCCTGCTGTCTGGTTTTTTAGCCACCGACTTGACTTTTAATTTCATAGATCTTTTTTGTCATTTATGAACTGAAATGCAATCATACAGCATATACTTTTGTTCCTGTCTCTTCACTCCCCTATATTTCCCCAGTAATTCATCTACATTATTGCATTTTTCTGCTGTTTGTCAATTTTCACTGCAGAATTGTATGATAGAACATTTTAAAATCCATTCTGTTTAATATGTCAGGTGTGTGATGTGAGAGTCATCAGAAATAAAGAAACTTCCTTGGTTGGGTATTTTCAGCCTTAGGGTCCCCTTAGTTGTCCCATCTCAACCTTCCCAGCCCTGCTCATGTGAGCTTGGTGGTGGGAGGTGAAGCGTGTCCCCACTGCTGACTGTTGTCACTTTTCTGAGGCTTTACCCTTGTAAGGCTGCCCTGTTGTTGCTGCACAGGACCCTCACCTCAGGGGAGGAATGACTGCCCCAAGCCTCTTCCTTTTGTGGGTTTTTGCTGACAGAACACAGACCTAGGTCAGAATTTTCCTTGTTCACATGGCAAGAAGAGTGAAGTTCCTAAGTATAAATGTTCAGGAGCTCAGGGCCTCCTAGGTGGTACAGGGAGTAAAGCATAACAGCATGAAGCAATCCGCAATATCTGCCACAAGGGTTCGATCCATGGCTGGTTAGGGAGCTACCCACATGGCACATCAGACCTCTGCTGTCTTGCCTACTGCTCCCATCGGCAGTGTAATTCTCTGCCCGTTCTGTTCCCCACTCTGTCTCTGGTGAATCCTCTCACTCCCACATCTCTGGCCTGTACCCCAGCTCTTGTCTGCATAAATAAATAAATCTTTAAAAAATTAAAAAAAAATGTTTAAGAGCTCACGTTATGTAATTGTGATGTGCTGGTGAGAATATGTGGTACTATGTACTCTAGTTCTCAACACACTGTATGTGGTGTTAGATTGGAATTTGTCTCTTCCTTCTGAAAATGTAGGTCTTATGAAAAAACACATTACTTGTGTGTATTTTTTTTTAAGATTTATTTATTTATACAAACACTGGGTACAGTCAGAAGCATGGAAGGGTGAGAGAATTCACCAGAGTCAGAGCAGGGAGCAGAACAGGCAGAAGGACCAAAGTATACTGCTGAGGGGAGCAGTGGGAGGGCAGGAGAGATCTGCCCGCCATGCGGGACTCTCCCCCAGAGGCCGGGGATCAGACTGGCGATGCAGAGGCTGCTGGCAGCCTCATAACCCAGTGCTCAACCACTGTGCCACCTGGGAGGCCCATTGTTTTTTTTTGTTGTTGTTGTTGTTTTTGTTTTTATTTTAAAGAGGAAGCCTTTCATTGTTCTTATGTAAGTGAAAATTCTTTGTGTTTGAATAGAAATTTATGAAATCCATATCAGTTGTGTCATGGATTGGAGTCTACCGTAATGACAGTGGTCAGCCATGGATGTTCTTAAATGGGTCAGCTTCCCAACTAGAGTAAGTATTATTTAAATAATGTTATAATAGCATAAAAAATGTTTTTGTTTCTTGGTTTGCCCAACATTATAGAATTTAAGATAAGAAAGGTATGAAAAGGTATATAAAAAGAATGCTATTCGTGCATTTGTTTTAAATTATGGACTGAAGGTTGGTGTTGAATATTAGTGTAATCTTGATAAATATTGAAGAAAGGACACCTCAGTATGTCTAACTCCCAACTCTGGCGATGTTCTATGAAAATTGTCTTCATCCATTTTCAAAATATGCTTGTATTGCAATTCAGTGAAATGTTATTGTTTCTTCTTTTGCCCCCACCTAATATAAGAACAGAATTATGCATTTTTCTTTATTACAGGATAAGAGAAATTGAAGTTGCTATTGATCAAACTGCAAAGCACTGTGGTATGCTACAGTCTAACTATTATGCGGAGAATTGTGAAGCTCCAAATTTGTATTATTGCAAGCATAAGCCTTAAATTAAAAAAAAAAATAAGTTTGGGATTTATTTGGGTAACTTCACATTTCAAGAAATAAGTCTTCTTGTTGATTTGGTGTTTTGTTCTAATGGCATTTTTTCACAATAATTATTGAAATACACTATTTACAGCAACAAGTATAGATATCTTTAATTTTGTGATGGACATTTTTTGTTCAACAATTCATTTGTGGCATTCAACCATCAAAAAGATCATTTGTTGTTGAGTCCATTTATAAGTAATGGAAAAATCATAGGTAAAGAAAGTGAACTGGTCTTGCCAGGGACGGAGGGAAGGTGGGATGAGGAACTGGCCACTGGCCAACAGAGATTGGTTCTCTGTTTCTTTTTGAAATGATGGAACTTTTTTCAGTGCTAAAAGTAGTGATGTTTGCAAACTCTGAATATGCTAAATGTCTTTGGTTTATTCACTTTACATGGCTGAATTTTATGCTTTATAACATATCTCAATAAAGCTGTTTTTCAAAAATTCTGCGATAATGTTTGAGAACATTTAATCTTTAAAGTAATTTGGAGTTTAGTCATCTTTATCATTTTTACTTTTTCAGTATATCAAGCTCAATCCTTCCTTCAATTTGATTTTTTTCATTATGCTTTGCATTTTTCTTAAAGATATTTATTTTTACAAGAACTGGGGTACAGTTCAGAGGCACGGGTAGTTAAGATAATTCACCAGAGATAGTGTGGGGAGCAGAACAGGCAGACGACCAAAGACACTACTGATGGGAGCAGTGTGCGGGGCAGGAGAGGTCTGCCACACCATGTGGGTTTCTCTCTGGCTGGCCGGGATTTGAACCCTTGCTGCAGAGGCTTTGGACAGCCTCACAGCACAGCGCTCAACCGGCTGTGCCACCGGGGAGGCCCCTATGCTTTGTATTTTTACTGAAGTCATAGGGAAATGATGTTATGCTTTAGTAATGGCACTTTATTTAGAATTGTCTGTTAGCAATTTTTAGTGCTATAAAAAACAATACAACTGAAGTTGGCTTACTGATTTATAGGCAATATTTTTGAGCACTTTACATATTAATTCTATCATTCTAATATATAAATCTAAATATGTATATATGAATTATAAATTTTGATATAATAGTTATGTATTATAAATAATCAGACCTTTCTTCTCTCCACCTGCAATTAATTTTTTATTGGCTCATTACAGACCAGAGCTTTATATCCACTATTGAATAGAAGATACTGTGCTTGATCTCTATGTATTCCCAAGTAGGGGAAAAGATTTCAATATTCATTCTGAAATTTGAGGTTTAGTGTAACTTTTTCATCATCACTCTCCAATTAGTGTCATACCATCACATTCTTATTTTTGTAATGGTTTTATAAGTTGGATGTTCTATTTTTACTCATTTTGCATCAATTGGAATGAGAAATGTTTTCTTTATAAAATGTTTATGAAGTAAATTATTTTTGTTTCTTTCAAATATGAGATGACCTTGCATTTTTGCAATAAAACTATAGAAATCATTCTGCGTGTTTTTTACCCATGTACATATTTTATTTAGATCAGCACATTTGTCTTTCTTATTCTCAAAAAGATTAGACTGTGTTTAATTCACAGCAACATATTTGACATGTCTTGTATCAAGGTAACTTTTAAAAGGATTCCTGTTATTCTGCTGGCTGAAAGACTCTCTGTAAGAGCACTGTGGTATTGAAGTGTTATTTCACTGCTGAAATCAACTGAGCATGTAAACCTGTTTTAGGGGAGTTTTTTTGTAAGATCTCAATGGCTCTAAGACATGTGAAATTTCTTCAGGTAGAATCATTTGCTGTACAGCTTTTGGTGATTTTCATTTTCTACAAATTTTCTATTTTGTGTGCACATTAAAATATATTCATAATAATGGCTTATTGTCTGGTGCACCTATTAAAAACCATTATGGTTTTTTTTCTTTTTCTTTTTTTTTTTTAAAGATTTATTTATTTATTTTATACAAGCACTGAGTACAGTCAGAAGCGTGGGAGGGTGAGAGAATTCGCAGAGCCAGAGCAAGAGCAGAACAGACAGACTTGACAAAATACACTGCTGAGGGGAGCAGCGGACCTGGCAGGAGAGGTGATGGAACCAGAGCTGCAGAGGCTGCGGGCAGCTTCGCAGCCCAGTGCTCAATCGCTGTACCACCAGGGAGGCCCCATTATGTTTTTTTCATGTGGAACCTAGATACAAAGACTTGGGTTCTCAAATGTTAAGTTTTTACACCAAGAATACATTGGCTTTGTTCATTTGGCTTTTTAAAAATTTTGTTTTTTGTCATTTGTTTCTGTCATTTATTGTATCCTTCCTTCTATTATTGTAGAATAATTTCACTTAATTTTGACTTTTCCATTTTTCAGTAACTTTGATGTATGCTTAGATTTCTGTTTTTCCCTTTTCAGCAATATATGCATTTAAGGTATTTGATTTCAAAAGATAAAATATTGCTTTCATATATTCCTTCTAATTTATATGATATTGCGAACATACATTCTGATCATTTCTTTCACAAATAAAATAAATAAATATATCATTGAAAGAAAATCATGAAGGGATTTTCTTTTTATGGTTACTAACTTCTATTTTAGGTGAACTTTGTTAGAGAATGTCTTTGAAGCTGGAAATGTAACATTTCTTTAAATAATGGCTAGTGTGACTGAGAAATAATTTGAACTTTAAAAACCTACATTTTCTGTCCTCCAATTTTTTATTTAAGTGATGTTTAAAAAGTTAACTCTTTGTCCCTAAAGATTTAGTCTTGGGCTTATGTCATACTTTCATAAGTATTCCTATTAAGTTCAGACTTTTTGTAAATAATCACTTCTTGATTATGTTATGATTGGGGTGCGAATCAATGAAAAGCATAATGGGAAATTATTTAAGATTTCCATCATGGAATGGTGATATCATTCAATGATTTGAAAGCTTTATCATTCCAAGAGACAATTTTTATCAATGGAAATTTAAACAACTATTTTATAAATTAAAAACTGAATGCAGAGAAATAGAGAAGAAAAGTGTGGGAACTGGAGATCAATGGACTATAATTAAGTTGAAAATGTAATTCTTTAGCCTACCTGGTGATATATTATTTAATATATATGTGTATCTTAGGGGATTATGGTTTTAGAAAGGTTACCATTAAAATAGACACAATGTATGAAAGTATAAGAAAACGTTATTTAATGCCAAGATACAGCAATCTTATATAACAGTAAAACATCTATTATTCTCTTCACTAGACTTAAGTTTTTAAGGTATTTGGATGAGATAGAAGCAATTTAACAGCCAAGTATGGTGACATTTGTTGCCCCCTGATATCTTTTAGAATAGGAACACAATTTCTTAGAGGCATTTGTCAATGGACAAACTAAATGACACACTACAAATTCAGTCTCCTCTGATCTGGAGGTGTGTGATGAGAAACTGCCTTCACAGTAGCTAGGATTTCCTGTTCAAGTTTTAAGTGACACTTTGGCAAGAAGTCTACTTTTTCCAGTGCAGCTTCACTCTGCAGGTTCACAGGAGAGTCTGTGTAAACCACAGATATTATTTGTTTCCATGAGTAAGCAGGTGTCACACTAGAGGATACTCCACTCTTTGGCCAACAGAAGGTATGTGTCCCTGCTCTCCTGTCTCTCTACCAGCCCATCTCATTATTACAAATGCTGTATATGATGCAGCAATTGATATGCAATCAAATTATAGAGAACATTGTTATCTTTACTGAATAATCCAGGGTGGAAAAATAATCATAAATATGAAACATATTAAAGGTTATCTTAAATATTCAAATAATTTTGTGTATTACTCAATTCCATATATACAAGGATAATTGGGTTTTCAAATCAATACAATTTTATCTGAATTCCCATAAGCATCAGAATATGGATAATTTATTTTGGAATTTGTAATCAATCTAAATATAATTCTACATAACATTTATTGTTCAGCCCAGTCTTTAAATATAGTTTCTTAAAATTAATTAATCTAATCAGGAAGGTCAAATGTAATTCTTTATATACTTTTTTAAAAAGATTTATTTATTTATGCACACAAGATCAGGAGTACAGGCCAGAGATGGTGGGGGTCGAGGATTCACCAGAGACAGCGTGGGGAACAGAACAGCCAGACTGAAGAAATACATTGCTGAGGGGAGCAGCGGGCGAGGCACTAGAGGTCAGCCGAGTCATGTGGGTTGCTCCCTAGTTGGCAGGGGATGGGGCTCATGATGCAGAGGCTGCAGATTGCTTCCTAGTGGGGCACTCAACTCCTTGTGCCACCAGAGAGGCCCCTTATATAATTTCTTAATCTTAATAAAGCCAATTTAATTTTTCATACAAATGAGGATGAAGTAGTCATAAAATTCTAACTTATAAACTATCAAAAAAATTTTAATGTTTCTTAACATTGCCAAGAAGATACACAACACTGATAGAAGAGACTACTGTTAAGGAATTATGTTATATGGCCTAAGGGATATGAATCAAAAATAACTACATCAGTGTGTCAAAACAATAATTAAAATAACTGACCTTTCATTGAGAGCTTATAAATGGCAGGTTGAATGTTACATATTTTACATGTTTTATATCTTATGTTTTTACTCCAGCTTTAGATTGTTAGTAAAATTGGTAGATACTGTGTAATTTTATAATTTTGAAAGCCAGAATTATTTTCAGATTCCTCTCTGCAGAGCTCTGTAATCAATTATGAAATTGCATTATTGATTTATTACAATTATCAATACAATGAAAATCCTTGGAAGTTTGAACCAACAGCAGTGTTCTCTAAATGATTTTTAGTTTATCATTTTATACTTTTTTATCTTTTTCATTCACTCATTTACCATCTTCTTGTATAAAATAAATGTCATTTCAAAATCTTTACCCTATCAATATTGTTCAGGATTTCAAGAAGCTAATGTGTCACCTATTATATTTTATATAGTAAATATTCTTCAAAATTTTAATGATTTCTTAAAACCCTACAATATT